CAGCCTCGTCTCAGTGGACAAGGCCTCGATCCATCAGTCCATCCCAGCTTCATTCAGCCATCACTCGCCAACAAGAGACACAGATATTTGCACTTGGTTGCTTGACAAGTGCAGCCCAGAGGCAACGTTCCACCTTCCTCCTGATAGTAACCATTTATGTTGACTCTAAAGGACTCCTGCAGTAGCAGCTGCACTCATCTAGTCATTCTGGTTTTATTTTGTTCTCTTCATCACCATATTGGAGACACCACCACGGACCTCCTCTCTATATGCAGTGATATACAAACGCTACAAAATGGACAAAACAGCCAAGATTTTATTGCCATTGTGCATGAACTTTGACACTGCGGGTTACAAAGTAGTACTGGGTAGTGAGTCGACCTGCCGTCAATGTGCTCCACTCACGCGCTGCTGGTTGTGTTGATGGCTTTAGCAACAAGCTACTTGTTGACCCAGCCGCAGGCTCAAAACCAAAGCAATGCAAGATGAGACACTGTCAAAGAACGGGCAACATCCTGGATAATAATGTGTTTTTTGTTGTTTTTCTTATTATTGCACACACCTAATTTACCAATGTCAAGTATATGTGGGACACTGAGGAAGCTATAGCTCAAGGTAAGGTGCTCTAAAGTCTTTAGAAACCACAACATTGCATTAAGCCTTATTTTAAGCAAACAAAAGAAATGGAACGGTAAGTAGACAAGCACACAGGATATAAAAATAAATGTGGATTATGCTTCACTCTTGCACAGAATAAAAGATGTTGAGATGGTTTTGTTGCTTGGCGACAGCATCAGGGCGTCTGCAACTCTCCAAGATAACGGACAGTAGACCAGCGAGATCTTGTCATGTTTTTTTTTTTTTTAGATGGAGGCTGTATCTGCAACCAACCACCTCTTAGATCCTCAACTGGTCACTTACAGCGATCGCCTCCAAAGACTGATACATGTTTTAGGAATGAGTAATCTGAGTGGGTGCTTTGAATGATCAAATCTCAGGAATGCGTTTAATGACTGAAGAGTTTTTGGAACATCAGAGCAGGTTCATCATCATCGTGAATGCAGACTGGAGATACAAACATGAACTTTTATGAGAGACTTCATCTTAACAGTGCCAGAAACTGCAGCCCTAAAACTAGCAATCAAACTTTAAAGTTCTGAAAACATCTTTAAAGAATAGGTCAGATTTGTTGGAGTGGGGTTCTGTGGAAAGGTTCTGATAAACTACATCTTCCTGTTGTGTTAGATCTTTGGTCAGAGAACAGATAGCTGTAGGATTTCAGCCTGGAGCACTTCTGCTAGGAATATCACACAAAACTGTGCAATGTAAAATGTATGGCAACATTAAATAATGTTTGCATAAATTGATGTGAAATTTTAAAAAAAAATTGAGTTGTTCAGTGTTAGTCTTGACCATATTTGGACTTTCCATCAGTCGGTCCAGTCAGAAGTAAACTTTATTTCTCCTACTTGGTTGTTCTACAAAAACAACTGTTCACAAAACTCCACTTCAAAACATCTGGAGTCTTTTTTTTTATTTTTAATTACACTCTTTCTTTTTTAAAAGACAGAAAAAAGAGAATGGTTTTTAAAACAAGGCTGATCAAAACATGTTATGAAGTGCCTTGTCAAACAGGAAGTATATGTGCACCTAAATATCCAGCTGCCAAAGAGCTGATCGTACCTTCAGTGACGGTGCCACACAGGGTCAAATATTCATTTTACCACAATATTTCAGAGCTCATCTTAAGAGGATACAGTTTATTCATACATCAAACTGAATTTTTAAGTTTAATATAATATTTTCTCTTTTTGTAAAACAGACCCTGGATCATCTACTGGTAAACCTGCCCACACTGAGCTGGTTAAGTTGCTCAAACTGCACATGACTCAACAGCTTACCTGTCCTTACCTACCTGAACGGTTACTAAAGGGTTAATTTCATGATTTCATTTTACATCAGGCAAGAGCCAAACTTACTGGATTTATAGAACTGAAATGTGAGTTTGGACTAAAACGAATGTACTGAATGAAACAAAATGAAGGTCAACAAGTCTGAACACTTTTGTTTCTACTAAATATATTCACGCTGAGTCAACGTGACGTTTTAGAGTTGACTAAGTTTATGCACGGGGTCTGATTCGTTTCATTTGGGTCAAACTAATTTTACTTTGTTAAATGTTTCTGTAGGAGCAATAAAAATACTTTTAATCAGTTAAACACATCAATATAATTTAAAGGCTAAGTATTTCTGGGATAAATCATGCAAGAGTTTGATCCTGAATCTGAATATTATAAATATATTGAGGAGGGTTGGAGGTACAGAGAGTCATGTTGGTCATCTTCTTATATTTAGAGTCGTTTTGGTCATATTCTTATAGTTGTGTTGGTCATATTCTTATAGTTAGTCGTTTTGGTCATATTCTTATAGTTGTGTTGGTCATATTCTTATAGTTGTGTTGGTCATATTCTTATTGTTAGTCGTTTTGGTCATATTCTTATTGTTAGTCGTTTTGGTCATATTCTTATCGTTAGTTGTGTTGGTCATATTCTTATAGTCGTGTTGGTCATATTCTTATTGTTAGTCGTTTTGGTCATATTCTTATCGTTAGTTGTGTTGGTCATATTCTTATCGTTAGTTGTGTTGGTCATATTCTTATTGTTAGTCGTGTTGGTCATATTCTTATAGTCGTGTTGGTCATATTCTTATCGTTAGTCGTTTTGG